GGAGGGATTTTGATTAGTTTAAATTGTTTACGTCAAGTTGATATAAAGTCATTAATTGCTTATTCTTCTGTTGCTCATATAGGGATTGTTTTAGCAGGAATTATAAATTTAAGAAATTGAGGAATTTGTGGAGGGTATAGATTAATAATTGGTCATGGGTTATGTTCTTCAGGTTTATTTTGTTTAGCTAATATTAGATATGAGCGATTAGGTAGACGAAGATTATTAATTAATAAAGGGTTATTAAATTTTATACCTTCTTTAACTTTGTGATGATTTTTATTGAGATCTGGAAATATAGCTGCTCCTCCTACATTAAATTTATTAGGGGAAATTTCTTTAATAAATAGAATTGTAAGTTGATCTTGGTATTCAATGATTACTTTATCATTTTTATCTTTTTTTAGAGCAGCATATACTTTATATTTGTATTCTTATAGACAACATGGAAAATTTTATTCAGGGGTTTATTCTTTTAGAATAAATAACATACGAGAATTTTTATTATTATTGTTACATTGAGTTCCTTTAAATTTATTGATTATAAAAAGTGAAATAATTTTTTTTTGATTATATTTAAATAGTTTAATTAAAACGTTGATTTGTGGTGTCAAAAATATAAAATTTTATTTTAAATTGTGAAAAATTTATCTTTATGTAGAATAAGATTTTGATTATTAATTAATTTAAGAATTATTTCTTTTATTTTTGGTTTAATATTTATTAATCATGATTATTCAATTTTTTTAGAATGAGAGTTAATTTCTTTAAATAGAATTAGAGTTGTAATAACTTTTTTATTTGATTGAATAAGATTAATTTTTATATCTTTTGTTTTATTAATTTCGTCTTTAGTAATTTATTATAGAAAAGAGTATATAGCAGGAGATATAAATATTAATCGATTTATTTTATTAGTTTTGTTATTTGTTATATCAATAATATTTTTAATTATTTCTCCAAATTTAGTTAGAATTTTATTAGGATGGGATGGTTTAGGATTAGTGTCTTATTTATTAGTAATTTATTTTCAAAATGTAAAATCTTATAATGCGGGGATATTAACTGTTTTATCAAATCGTATTGGAGATGTTGCTTTATTATTAGCAATTGCTTGAATATTAAATTATGGATCTCGAAATTACATTTTTTTATTAAAATTTAATGTTTCAGATATAAATATATTGATTATTGGGGTATTAATTGTATTAGCTGCAATAACTAAAAGAGCTCAAATTCCATTTTCAGCTTGATTACCTGCAGCAATAGCAGCTCCTACTCCTGTATCAGCTTTGGTGCATTCATCTACTCTTGTTACTGCTGGAGTTTATTTATTAATTCGGTTTAATTTATTAGTTGGGGGCACAATTATAGGACAAGGATTGTTATTAATTTCAGGATTGACAATATTTATATCAGCGTTAGGAGCTAATTTTGAATTTGATTTAAAAAAAATTATTGCATTATCTACTTTAAGTCAATTGGGGTTAATAATGAGAATTTTATCTATAGGATTTTATAAATTAGCTTTTTTTTCATTTATTAACTCATGCTTTATTTAAAGCATTATTGTTTATGTGTGCTGGGGCTATTATTCATAATATAAATAATTTGCAAGATATTCGTTTAATAGGAGGATTAAGAAGTTATATACCTTTTACATGTAGATGTTTTAATGTTGCTAATTTAGCTTTATGTGGAATACCTTTTTTGGCTGGATTTTATTCTAAAGATATAATTTTAGAAATTGTGTCATTGAATTATGTTAATATATTTTCTTTTTTTCTATTTTTCTTTTCTACAGGGTTAACAGTTAGATACTCAATTCGTTTAGTTTATTATTCATTAGTTGGAAATTTTAATTTTTATAGATTAAATTTATTAAGAGATAATAGTTGAATTATATTAAAAGGGATATCTGGTTTATTATTTATAAGAATTATTGGGGGAGGATTTTTAAATTGGTTGTTATTTGGTACTCCTTCAATAATTTGTTTACCTTTTTTATTAAAAATATTAACTTTAATTGTGTGTATTTTAGGAGGATTAATAGGGTATTATATTTCAAAAATTTCTTTATATTTTTTCAATAAATCTTTACAAAATTATTTTATTTCTTTATTTTTTGGTTCAATGTGATTTATACCTAATATTGTTACATATGGGTTAATTTTTAATTTTTTATTTTTAGGTAAAAAGTTATATAAAAGTTTTGATCAGGGTTGATCTGAATTTTTTGGAGGATTTTATTTATATAAAAATTTATTAGGTTATTCAAAATTTAACCAAATTTTGCAAAATAATAGTTTAATTATAATATTAATAAGTTTATTTTTTTTAGTATTAATATTTTTTGTTGTTTGGTATTTAAATAGCTTATAATTAGAGTATTACGTTGAAGTTGTAAGGGAGATTTATATTATCTTTAAATATTTAATGAATTAAAATTAGTAATTTATAAATAAAAATATTTATTTTTACAATGAAAATGTAATGTTTTTGTTAAACTAATAAATAAATATAGAAATATAAATGGAATTTAACCATTAAAAATAAAAGTTAACAACTTTTTTTTGTTCATCATATTTCTTTAATTGGAATTTTATTCAATTTTATTATTAACAGTAATAAACCTCTATTTTGGTTTCAATTAATATTAAGAATAAGGGTAATTTACCTAATTTTTAGGTCGAAACTAAATGTGATGTATCACTTCATATTCTTTATAAGATAGATTACATAAAATAATATTTTTTGAATGCAAATCAAATGTTAAATTTAACTACAATCCTTAAATAATTTTTTTATTTAATTAGATCAATTTAATATACCTTGATTTCATTCATGATATACTCCAATTAATAGAATAATTAAAAAAATAATTGAAGTTATTCTTCATATAAATAAATTTAAAAAATTTAAAATTATAATCATAGGTAAAATTAATGCAATTTCAACATCGAAAATTAAAAAATAATTGTAATTAAAAAAAATGAACTGAAAATGGAATTCGTGAAGAAGATTTTGGATCGAATCCACATTCAAAAGGGGAATTTTTTTCTCGATCATTAAGTATTTTTTTTGATAAAATTGAGGCTAAAAATATTACAACAGAACAAATTGTGAAAATAATTATTGCTATAACTGTTAATAATAAAATTATCTAATCTATAGTTTTATAGACTTTATGATTGGAAGTCATATATACTTTTTATATTATTTAGATAAATAATAAATTTAATTATCCTCCTCATCAGTAAATAGAAATATAAAGAAATAATCAAACAATATCAACAAAATGTCAGTATCAAGCAGCTGCTTCAAGTCCAAAATGATGATTTTTAGAAAAATGATGATTTAAATGACGAATTAAACAAATTAATAAAAAAGTTGTTCCAATTAAAACGTGAATTCCATGAAATCCTGTTGCTATAAAAAATGTTGATCCATAGATAGAATCAGCAATTGTAAATGGTGCTTCGATATATTCATAAGCTTGTAAAATTGTAAAATAAATTCCTAATAAAATAGTAAAAAATAATCCCTGAGAAGTTTGTGAATGGTTATTTTCTATTAATCTATGATGAGCTCATGTTACAGTAACTCCTGAAGCTAATAAAATAGCTGTATTTAATAATGGGATTTGAAATGGGTTAAAAGGGGAAATTCCTATAGGTGGTCATGAAGCTCCTAATTCAATAGTTGGAGATAAACTTCTATGAAAAAAAGCTCAAAAAAAGGAAACAAAAAATAAAACTTCAGATAAAATAAATAAAATTATTTCTCATCGTAATCCTGTTGTTACTATAAATGTGTGTAAGCCTTGATATGTTCCTTCTCGGCAGACATCTCGTCATCATTGATAAACAGTAATAATAATAATAATGTTTCCTAAAATAAATAATGATATATTATATTGATGGAATCATTTAATTATTCCTGAAACAATTGTTATTGCACCAATTGCACCTGTTAAAGGTCAAGGGCTATAATCTACTAAATGAAATGGATGATTTGAATGAGTTGACATTAATTTACTTCTCTGGAATAAAGTGTTCTTAATACTGCAAATACATAAGATTGAATAATAGCTACAGCAGATTCTAAAAGTAGTAATAAAATTTGTCTAAATAATAAAATTGATAAAACTAATGAAGTTAAGGATGGACCTGTATTACCCAATAAAGTTAATAATAAATGTCCTGCAATTATATTAGCAGTTAATCGAACTGTTAAAGTTCCTGGTCGAATAATATTTCTAATTGTTTCAATACAAACTATAAATGGTATTAAAATTGCGGGAGTTCCTTGAGGGACTAAATGAGCAAATATATGTTGAGTATGATTAAGTCAACCATAAATTATAAATGAAATTCATAATGTTAAAGATAAGGATAAAGTTAATGTTAAATGACTAGTTCTAGTAAAAATATAAGGAAATAATCCTATAAAATTATTAAATAAAATTATTGTAAATAAAGAAATAAAAATTAATGTAGATCCATTTTTTCCTGTAGGACCTAATAATGTTTTAAATTCTTTATGAAGAGTTAATAAAATATTATTTCATAGGATATTGTAACGAGAAGGAATTAATCAATAAATTATTGGAATTATAACAATTCCTAAAAAAGTTCTAATTCAATTAATAGAAAAACTAAAAATACTTGAAGAAGGGTCAAAAACAGAAAATAAATTTGTTATCATTTTCAATTAAATATTTTTGTTGTTATTTTATAACTTAATGATTTTGGTGAGGTAGGCAATATATAATAATAATTTATTATATTAAAAATAATAAAAATTATAAAAAATAAAAAAAATAAACTTAATCAATTAATAGGAGCTATTTGTGGAATTAAAAAATATTAATTGGTTAATAATTTTAGTTTGACATACTAATGTTATTTATTTAAATAATTTTTTCATTAGAAGTAATTGCTAATTTACTATAAAATGGTTTAAGAGACCAGTACTTGCTTTCAGTCATCTAATGAATTAGAATAATTTATGATTCATTTAATAAAAAAATTAGTTGGGATACTTTCAATTACAATAGGTATAAATCTATGATTAGCTCCACAAATTTCAGAACATTGTCCATAAAATAGCCCAGAACGATTAATAAAAAAATTAGTTTGATTTAAACGTCCTGGAGTCCCATCAACTTTTACACCAAAAGCTGGGATTGTTCAAGAATGAATTACATCTGCAGCAGTTACTAAGATTCGAATTTGAGAGTTTATAGGTAAAATAACTCGATTATCTACATCTAAAAGTCGAAAATTATTAATATTTAATTCATTTGTTGGAATTATATAAGAGTCAAATTCAATATTTATAAAATCAGAATATTCATATGATCAATATCATTGATGACCAATTGTTTTTAATGTAACTAAAGGCTCATTAATTTCGTCTAATAAGTATAATAATCGTAAAGAAGGAAAAGCAATAAATAATAAAATAATAGCAGGTAAAATAGTTCAAATAATTTCAATAGTTTGTCCATGTAATAAATTTCGATTAGTATAATTATTAAAAAATAATATAAATATTAAATAACCAACTAAAATAGTAATTATAACTAAAATTATTAAGGTGTGATCATGAAAAAAAGTTAATTGTTCTATTAAGGGTGAAGCTCTATTTTGAAGGTTTAAATTTGATCATGTTGAAATTTCTAATAAAAGTAAAATACTTTATATATGAAGCTTAAATCCATTGCACTAATCTGCCATATTAGAAATTAGTTAATAATGGTAATTCTGAATATCTGTGTTCAGCAGGAGGAGAATTTT